AAGAACGCGTGATTTCTTAAGAACACTTTTTATGAGAAAAACATGGACAAGCTCAAATGACGCGAAGAATGAAATCGATTTCATGCTCAGTAATATGAAACCACTGTCGAACAGGTTCAGTGCAAGAAATGAATGCAGGCTACAATAAACGCCAGCTGAGGGTGATATTTTAATGTTGGTGCTCCAGTAGGTATTGGCATTCGACCGAATTCAGGTGGTGTTCGAATCAGTACTTGCTCGACCAGTGCACTGAAAGGTAGAAATGCTGCCACGCACTGCAGGGCTTTATGCCATACCATGGAGCTGTGGCCGCCGAAATGGTTTCCTAGGTATCAAAAAGCAAAGGGACGATGCGATCTGGGGGAAAAACCGGAAGTGGATCGAATATCTCTGCGTGTCTCCCTTTTGTGTTAAGACTTTCCTTTTCTGGCTGAAGGTAATTACGCTAAGACATGCTTAAGTGATTCGCTGAAAGTTCCTTCAGCTCGTTTCGACTCAGAGGAGAACCAATGCCTGGCTATTGATAACTTGATGCTTGTGATTCTACTTAAAGGAAGATGCCCTCCATCGCAATCTTGTTCAGTATCGACCTTGGCACATTGTATTAATTCTTCCTTTTGTTCCTGCTGATCGCTTTCACAGTGGCTACAGAGGTTCTTGCAAGATGCAGTGGTCCTCCTCCATCCACATATATTGATTGGCTGGATTTTTGGATTCGAAGGCATTAGATATAGTTGAGCGATTTGACTGTGCTACAAACGAAATCGTCTTACGAGCTCTTTCCTTTGACGTCTCATCATACGCCTAAACCGTCGCAATTCTGATTTCTTGATTTCATGCATGGTGTAAGGGCTTCATCACATGTCCAACCTTACGCAAATTGCTTCATCAAACACAAGAGTGGCAACCTTTCGGAATTCTGTGTTTTGAACCTTGTCGAACAACTTCACATCAGCCACAGATCATTAATCTAGGTACTCTGTTCTCAACCGTGATACCCCAGATGACGATAACAAAAAAAAACAACACAACAGTAATCCTTAGAAGAAGCCTCTTTTCCTAATTTTATGAAAAATCGTACTCTTTCTTCAATATTCAATTCGTTGGTGAAGACAGATGTTTGGACAGACGTAAAGACTCATGACTAAACATTACTGTTCACCTCTTTCTTTATCGTTTCTATGTGTACCTCCACGTTTTGTATAGTATTGGTAGTAAATAAAGGAAATAAAAGTTTTCACGTGTGTAAACCAGCTGTTACCCCCGAGAATAATAGTGAGTACCAAAGTATCGCACGAACGCCCTAATTCCAGTTATTACAGTGATCTTAAGGCAGCGTGTTTTGCCTTCAGCCTAAGGAAAAGCTTTGTGTTAAGAAACGAAACACCCGAATGTTAACATACCTTCGGTACAGGAGGAGGAAAATTTATTGCCAGCAAAGAGTAGCGAACTGATGTGCCTTGCTAGCCTTTCCGGGACCAACTTTAAAACTAGTGCGAACGATATGCTGAAAGACCTACTTATGAGTTTGGCATTAATCTCAAACTGAGAGGTAATTTTACTATTTATAGTAAGATCCAACTGTTTGATTCACTGAAAAAGTTAGTTACTTTCCGTACTTATGGGAATTTTAAGCTGCTTCTGATATGATATTTAAATTTGGAACCTTTACGCAGCATTATCAAGGTATTGCTTATCAAAACTAATGTATATGTGGAGATATAGTGCTTGTTTATAACAAGCTCCTATTAACCATGCATTTACAAAGAGGCAGTAGACAGTAGTTTTATGAACGATTTAAAGGTATTTGCTGTACATTCAGCAAGCAAGATTTATTGTATATTCTCCGTCATGCCAAATATTTTGAAATTGCAGTTATTCGTTGATCGGATCAGATAATTGTTTTTGATCACTTTATGATGAGGTCTGTGAAACTACGGTTTTTGGAGGGATTAGTGAATTGACAAGATGCATGAAGGTTGGACGACTGGCACCAGAAATACCTCTGGTGAGCCACTTCTTCGCCTAATCGAGAGATCACATATGGAATGACATAAGCCGCGTGGTCAGTACAATAGCTGGGGCACTGACGAGGCATTTTCACGGCAGTCCTGTGGCCGGAGGTAAGAGCAGGAGTAAACTGCAAACTCCAGTTCATAGAGCTTAACTGGTTCGTAGAGGCAACGATCGTTGGAAAAATTTTTCGAAACTACGGCTGGCTTCCAACCAGAATGGAATAATGCATGTGCAAAGGAAGGAATGCATTGCATAAGCCTTTGGGCTAATCAGGGTTTCACACTAACTGATAGATGAGTAACTGGCATTCGTTCCTTCTCATTGCAGACAATACAGGAACAGTTATTTGGTCATAGATTTTGAACGTATTTTTACACCCAAATTTGAATGGTTCTATGTCTTTCTTCTTTTATTTTCCAGTAAGAGTGGTCTTTTTGTTTCTTTTGCCATTAACTCAACTCCTTCTTCTTCGTCCCTCTTTAATGTCCTCCTTATACTTCTGCTTTTCCTTATTTTACTCAGTCACACTGTACTTCTGCTACTCATTTGATTTCTCTTTTTTCTACTCCCCTCCTTTTTACGTTGTTCCTTCTACTTCTTGTCCGTTAATTGTCCCACTTCTACTTCTAATTTTCTTGATCCATCTTCTTTTCATCTATTCGAATCTTGCAGGAGCTGTTATTTCGGATTTTACAATATATGGAAATTCAAACATATTCTGTTTCTTCCACGATAACAAAACTGATTTTTAATTAGTTTATACATACAGCAAGTAAACTAAT